CGAGGCGTGGCGGCGCGAGATGGAGGGCCGCGGGACGACGCCGCCCGTGGGTCAGCAGCAGTGGACGCCGCAGATGGTCCGGGAGGACGGGAGCGGCGGCGGCGGCGTCGGCGGTGGTGGCAGGCGGGCGGACTGGGTGGCGCAGTCGCCGGCCGTGGCCATGGTTTCGACGTGGGCGAACGGGGACCAGCCGCAATCCCCGCAGCAGCAGCAGCGGCAGCTGCAGAAGCCACCGCCGCCGCCGCAGCCAAAGACGAAGAAGCACAGCTCGGACAAGTCGTCAAGGCCCGGCTCGACTGGCGGGAAGAGCTCCAAGAGCTCCAAAAGTTCCAAGAGCACCGCCTCGGGCGCGAGGGCGTCGGCGCGCAAGCCGAGCTCGACGACGGCGCGTGAGGGTTCGTCGAGGAGGGTGGCGGCCAGGTAAATGGGATTGGGCAAAGTTTGAACAACCTATCATGATACCTTTTTTTCTTTTTTGTCTCTATTCTTTCCTTTGTCGTTTTGGGGCCGCAACATGGCTGGTTATTATTGTGGGTTGCACGGCGTTCCGGGGAAAGCTTGCGACGGACCAGTCCCGAGTCTATTTTGGAGTTTGGTCTAGACAATGGACGCGTCATTAGGGCACACCTAAAGAGTTTGTGAGACTATCGAGTATCCTATGTTTCAGTTCCCGCTCGTACTCCCGTCAACTTTAGGGCGAAATGGCTTCTGCTAGCTGGAGGCCCACGTCGGGAGTCATTCGTGGCAATCATCAAATAGCCCATCCAGGCAAGTTGAGGGTATGCGTAACATCACCATCTCGGCCATTAATTGAAGGGGAAACCGGCGAAACAGTACGAGATCGTGACAGAGAGACACCTGCTCAGCTGTTGCTTCTGGCCACAGTGTCGTCTTGCTCGCTTCCACCTGGACGCCATCTACAAGGTAGCAGGTAAACCGACCTGCCCGTGTAGTTCTGATGGCCTTCTTCCCGAGAGTACGGGCTAGTTCAGATTGCCAGCCTTGCCCATCTCCGTCGTGTCATGGGACCGGTCACCCAGTTAAGCATTCCATTGTGCCGGCCGATCACTGCCGATCAGCTGGATACGAAGGACTCGAAAGGGAGGTACCTGAACATGCCATTGGATGCAGCTCTCGTGCACGACGTAGGTGGTGGCTACGGTATCCGGAAATCCAGACTAGCGGGCTCCTTTCGAGCGACGTGTGTTTCCTTTGTTGGTCTTGCCTCCTTCAGCCCGTCTTACCCCAGGGGCGACACACGTCTGTCAAGAAAGATTAGTCGGAATGGGTACCCAGGTAAGCAGCGCATGATGGGTGGGAGCATGTGTGTATAAATAGGCCTATGGTCGATTTCTCCAGCTTGTTTCGGGGAGAACTGCATGGACGAACTCGCCTACTAATCTCTCCGTGCCGAGCAACCAACACCATCAATTGCCAGGAAATAGCAAGACACAATGCTTCGCTACACCATCGCCCTCGCCTCTTTGGCCTCTCTGCTCTGCTCAGTGTCGGCGTTTTCCTGCCCTGGGGTGACCGAGAACGGTTTCAAGCCGGTCTGCTGCATGGGAAAGGATGGCCAGGTTGCCCTCAACTGTCAGCCTACCACTGCAAAATCGTGACTCGCGGTAGGAAGACTAGATACTGACATGGTCACCAATACGTCCAGGCATCCCAGCACATCAGATGGGAGCCGAAAACCCAACTTGGGAATGCAATGCCGGCCCACCGTATAGGTCCCAGGGCTGCTGTCAAAGCATCGTGAGTACCATCTCCACTGCCAAGGGTGATCCTCTGAAGGAATTTGGGCTCTGATCTTTTGCTCCCTGTGTATCCAGGGCTACACCAATCCCGATACTGGTATGAGCATCCATCTCTGCTCCGACTACATCGGTCCCTGAGAAATTTGCACAAAGCCTGGGAGGGGATGGAATTGGTGGAATTTTTCTACTTCCATTTTGCTGCTATTCTTTTTTTCAACTTTCGGCCACTGCCCACAAGGCCGCCTGCCTTGCACAGCTGAAAAGTTTCTTCACCCCCCCCCCCTTGGTATCTGGCTACTCGGGGTTGAACCTCGGCCCTGTTTATCTACTTGCTGCATTATAAAAAAAGAGCCATCAAACCCCTTTCAGTAGTAATTGCATGCTTTCCTTGTCTCCCTCTGAGCGAAAATCCAAACAGGCAGTGCACATGGACCTTCCTAGGCAACGGGCCATCGGGGCGGGCCGCATAACCGCCCGCCCGCACAGCAAAACGACCTTACTCTAACGTAGCAAACTCCAGGCCAGACACCTTCCACCGGGTGTATGATCAAGCCGACCATAGCCCCTATTCCACCCTTAGAATGACGATAGCCTGTCAAACCCATCTTCAGCTCACCGCGAGGAAGCACCTTTTCCACACCCGGCCGCCAGTCAAAAGCCCATTCCCAATCGCCCTTGCTGTCAGGCTCCCCCCCAGTCTTGGAATACCAATGATACCCGTCCCTATACTTGACCGCATGATTGCGAGCGAAGCGCAGATCGGAAGGAAACGGAGCCGCTCTGCCTGTTATTCTCAGACGCCCGCCGGGAGCTACCTCCCCGAACTGGTTCGTGCCCTTTGGCCGTAGGCCGACCACCCACAGGCTGCACATTGACTGCCGGTACAATAGGTCACAAGATGGATATCTGGTTAACGATCAGTCAGGAAAAGAAAGGCGGCAGTGGATGGGAGTGGAAAGTAAGGGATGAGGGAGATCATGATGGAAGATGGAAGCCATGGCTGAAAGAAGAGGGGGAGCAGCAGTGACGAGCCGGAAAGCATAGGGATTGAGGGGATTAGAACACAACAGGCAGCAAAGGTATCAGGAGCGAACGGCGACAACGAATGGTCAGCAGAAAATCACGCCCAGCAAATAACATGAACTGGAGCAGAGTAGCGGAGGCGCTGTTGGCAGTTGACTCTGCAGGATCCTTCCGTGGACAGCCAATAAGATCAAAGCTATGGCAGCGGTTACGGGCGTAGAGATATCTGGGTCGATTCCATGGGCTGGCCACCTCCCGCTGCCATAATTTGGGAACCAGCGGCCGCGGACCTTCGAGGTTATCTAGGCAACAATCGAGAATGGAATGGAAGAGGGGTACCACCGCAGATACCGTTCGACACCAAAAGATCGCGCTTCCGCTGCTAGTCTATCTTCTGTCCCCTGTCCATCCTCCTTCCTTGCCACATCCTCCCCTCCATCTTTACACAACCTCAATTATCTGGGCAGGTGGATGACAAGAAGGCGCCGAGGGTGACCTAGGTGTGGGCAAAAATGGAGGTCATAAGCACAGATTGGCTCTCCCAATCTTGTTGAGCATCTTCATTGTCGCCTTGAAGGATGCATAAGGCATCTATCCAGAGGTAAGGGATAAATAGGGCTCGGGTGGCTGTAATGGCGTCTTTCAAGTCGCTGTCATTTGATAGTCGTGGATGACATGCGTGCGTTCACATATGGCCTCCCTCGTTGTTTTCAACTGGCCTTGCGCATCCTTTGGGGTTCCCCAGCAGTAGCTTAAGGCGGCGTAGACGGGGGCCGTGATATCCGGATTATTTTCCGTGATGACAAGTTTTGCTGGATGGCTTTGAGCTTCGATGAGCCTCTTTGGGCAGAAGATCCCAGTGGCAAATTGCTTTCCAACCGGGTCTTGTATCTTCTTCCTGGCACAACGCGCGACCTCTGCGCTAAAGCGAGCTGGGCCGATGAAACTCGGCTCTAGCCCCAACCACTGCAATAGTGAGTCCGCGGCATATTTTATGACAGTGTCAGCGACTTATTTCAACAGGGTCATGAAGCGGGAGAGGAGGCAAAGGCTTCAAAGGGCGTACCTCCGCTATGACTTTGACAAGGGTCGGTATGAAATGTGAGGCCGCCACCATCGGTGTAGACCTTTCCTTCAGGAGTAAGAGTAATGTAAAGATATAAGTCTCCCTTGTAAGCACTCTCCGCCTTGCAATTACCCATATCGGCAAGAGGCCCCTTATCCGATGAAAGGACCCGAACGACATATTAACCCCATTCTCCGCCGTCGCAAGGATATTCTGAAACTCGGCATCTTCTTTCACCATCCTTGATAGAAGCTCTCTGCGGATGAGGCTACAGAAGCTGCAGTGTCGCGGTCCATGGGCCGAGAGTGCCGGTTGTAGAAAATGTGGGGGTAGTCTTTGACCAAAAGCTGATTATCATGCGGAGGCTCTTTCTCTGTCAGGAGATACTGCCACGTGTGGTATCTTCCAAGCTTTTTTGTCCCTGGTAGTACGAGGTACTGGTCTCTCGCCCTTTTCCGAGGTAGAGTTGCGGCCGCCCGCGGCTTCGTCACCGAAATTGAGGCCCCGGCGGCATCTCTCGCATAATTGGGCGCCGCTGCCACTGCTGGATTCGCTGGTTACTTGAGTGTTGGCATCAGAACCCATGAGGAAGTGAGTAGGTATATGTTGCTGTAGATTTTGATATGTTGGGATAGAAAATTGCCCGCAGGGGACTGACCAGAAGATGAGGACCAGGGACCAGATTACAGGCCTGCGTGCTGGCAATATCAATGCGAGGGGATCAGAGCCCAGGCAGCAATGCTAAGCGGCAAGAGGCACGCGACAGATGGCCATTGGGTAGGCAGGATGTGGTTGTTGGCAGCCTCTGCGGACCCCGACCTACCACATGCACCAACACGACACGACCCCAACCAGGGGTCGGGCGGCTATGCGGATCGGTCCGGTAGCACCCGGTTTCTTTGGCTCAAAAGGCCGGGCCGCTGTGGATTCAGGAAACAGAGCAAGGCTATGTCTCGAGGACAGGGCAGTGATAGATGCAGACAAGGTAATTTCTGGGATCCGGAATTTAGCAGGCAATTATTTCCCTCAATATCAGTACAGGTCAATGCAGTCATACAAGCGCAACTTCATCTTGTTGTCTCGTCTCCCTTTTTGCTGTTTTCGCGTTGCTTCTTTCCCTCACTCACTGCGGCGAGGCCGTCTGCCCCTGCGCTGCGCCTCGTCCCGCCGTGCGAGGAACTTCTCCTCCTCTTCATCTCGCCTCCTCTGCTCGTACTCTTCGGCGGCAGCAGCCGCCTTTTTTGCCACACCATCCCCGGTGAAGGTCTTGATCTTCTCGCGTGTGCCCTTCCAGGCGTCCTTGAAGTCGGCAATGGGGCTCTTGGAACTGGTACCCTCACCCTCACCCTCACTGTCAACGACAGCAGTCGTGTTGATTATGCGGGGTGCCTCCCATTTGATCTTTGGGGTGCTGGCACTGGCGATCGGTGCGCCAAGTGGCGGAAGACCAGCTCTCTTGCGCATTGCGGGCTGGTTCTGAATCTGGGTCTGAACGATCTGAAGGAAGCTGGAGAGAGCAAGGTATATCTGGACGCCAGCATTGAGTTTGAGTGTTGCCAGGAATGTGATTGGCGTTAGGATATACTGCATCATCTTCAGTAGAGGAGCTTGGCCGGGATCCATTGTTCCGTTCGTCTGTAGGGTGCGGAACATGTAAAGCACAAGACTTGTCGAGACCATGGGGAGCACGTAGTAGGGGTCTGCGGCGGTCAGGTCCGTGAACCAGAGCACTCCACCCGTTTCGAAGCTAGGCACGGGGAGTTTTGAGGCATTGTTGAGGAAACGGAAGGCGCCAAAGCCGATGGGTACTTGTAGCATGGGCAGCATCGTCTTCATGACACTAACGCCGGCTGTTTTTTGGGCGATCGAGATCCTCTGCCGAACTTGGGCAAGGAGCATGTTCTTGTTGGGTTCGGTCGACGTGAACAGGCGTTGCATCTCGGCGTAGTCGGCCGCGTGTTTAGGATCTTTGCGCAGGATCTGCATTTTGTTGGAGTGGATGTAGGCAGTCCAGACGGGTTTCAGAACGAGAAGCCTCAGCCCGACGGCAAAGGTGGCGATCGAGGCCCACCAAGGCAAGCCGGTATAGACATGGATGTGCTCCAACGTCCATTGTACCATAGACGTCGGACCCCAGCCAAACTCAAGTCCCAGCTCCTTGAAATAGCCTATGTGGTCGTGCATATCAAGGAGGCGCGAGCCCTCGAAGAGGTTGTCTAGGCTGCTAGTGTCGACCGGGGCGGGATCGGGGAGAGAGGTGGGGGTGGCCTCGGGAGAGCCCGCGGCGGGAGACTGCGGCGCTGTCGAGGCATTCCGCACCTGCGTGGCAGAGACGATCGGGGATATCTTGCCATGGGCAAGCATTCCCACGGTCCCGGCTCCAGCGGCTCCTCGAACCGCGACCACTGTCCTCCTCGCTCCCCCGACCAGGCCGGCCGTCTGTGAGAATCGGATGGTGCCATTGTTGCGCAGGGTAGTTCCGAATTGCCTGGCCCCATTGGCTGACCTTAGGTGTTGCGAGGACCCCGTCAGAAACTGTGAGTGACGGCGCGTTCGCCCAATGTCAGTACCGGCCTCAGAAGGACGCTATTCCCAGGTGGTAGCTAGACGAAGTTGGCACACGCTGACCGATCTCACCTTGGAATCAAATCTTTGCCGGGCTAGGCATCTTGAAAGTCCTCTGCTTGGTAGCATCTCCAGATAAATTCTTGTCTTTGGACAGCGCCACACACAACCTGCTCCTCCCTCCTAGAGCAACACAATCAGAATCTTCAAACAAGTTACTGAAGACGCTCTGTAATGGTCAATTGGATTTTTAAGTGGGTCAAGCGATCCCGGGCGGGAGGCATGTTCGAATGGTCTGTGCGCCACCCCACGCCAACTCCACGACAAACCCGCCCCTCGCATGGCACATGGAGAGAGTAAACCTGACAGCAAACAGCCTTTGAATGGGTGTTATAACAACACCAAGACCCTCACATAGACGGATACATCAACCTCCATAAAATCTAACCTAACTTTTAGGCTATCTTTTCTCTTTCCAACTCAACTCGCCTAGATGGTATTTGGAGACTTTTACACAAAGCTAGGCACACCTCGGACGAACAGTTGCCCACCGAGCCGGCTCTGTTTAAACACATGCAGGCTTGATGGAGACCAACGCAGATCTCTACGTGCCACGGATTACTAAGAGCCGAGCCTCAAATGGCCGTTGCTCTTAGGGAGAGCCAGTCCATCATTCCATGGTCCAAATCCACCAGGGCGATGCTAGCTATGCTGCCTTTGGAATACCTTGGGGCAATGAAGAGGACCGGGCGTATCCAATCATTCCAGGCTTGTCAGGTCCTGGAGTCCTGTTGATGGTCGCGGTCTGTCTATAACTTCGATTCCAGGACCGGCGGGGTGTCTTGACCTCCGAGAAAGAGGAAAGATCTAGAGCGCGCGGATATTAGCCTTCCGTCTCGATATTTGCCAGGCGCCTAGGCCTATCCCTGCCGCCGAAGCTTCCTTCATCCTGCCTCCCCTGTGACGTACCCTAGTGCCGCTCCAGCCAAGTCTGAAAGCCGCCTCGTGGGCGAAAAGCTCGCCAAATCCCAGCATCACGCCGTTGACGAAAGGCAGCAGCAGGTTTATGGCGGCGCCCCGGAGAAGAGACCAGACGGTTGGGGGTTGGTAAAGTATGATGGCGGGGGATGAGGATGAAGGGGGCGAGGTGGAAATATCTTCTCCGCCTGAGTACTGCTCGCTGTCGGACCGTATTGTCACGCCAGACTCGGCTAGGTGGTTTGAGCGGTCGTCGGAGGCCATCGTGGGGGCTTGGTCGAGTCTATCCGCAAATGCGCCCAGGAGAACAGCGAAATCGGGCGAACAGTGCCAAACGGAAAATTCGGTGGTCGCCCTCCAGCGGTCTTGAGCCCGAGGAATTGCTCAAGGAGGATAGTCTCTAGCCAGCCAGCGACTGCGGTTGTAGGATGTTGGCGATGCGTGTTCAGGATGCGTGCTTGGATGCTATCGGCCCAAAGTACCGTCATTCGGTTCCATGCGGTTCGGTTCCTCCATGCACCGGCCGGGCAGGTCGCCCCAGACCTGGCCCGGAAGCTTGGGCCAGGCGCCCACCATCAAGGGCGCATGAGCCACAGTGCGTGTTCCATCATGCTGGCGCTTTTGCATTAAAGGCCCCAAAGTAGGCCAAACAACATCACCAAGATAACAACACCCAACTAACAACTGTATTCATATATCGACCGTACGCATCGCGAGTCTGGTAGTATAACCATACAGCCAGAGTATCCACCTATTAGTGCTAGCTATTGTAGGTTCCAATGTTTTGGCACAGTCAAAACTCCGAGGCACAGTGCTTAATACGAAACTCGACTGTTTATGACATAATCGCACCTGCCGTCTGGAGGGGCACCCCACCGTTTGTCGTCACTGAGGAGCTGCCTACCTGGGGCCGAAGAACAAACAAACAAACCTACATCACGGAAGCCCTCCAAACTGCTGGCGGGTCTGCTGTTTTTCTATCCCATCCAATAACGACCCCTTCGCTCCAATCACCCTCGACTCGGAAACAAGACCAACTACTCCATCTCACCTCAACGTGTTGCGCACGCGCGGCTGATCATTCGGACTCTGTCTCCGTTGCCACGATGGATCCCGAAGTAGCACAAGACGACGCACCGTCTGGAACGAAGGCGCCACCGGCCAACTCTCAAGAGATGATTGATGAATTCATCGAGACCACCAAACAGCAAGAAGAGACGGTGTCAGAAGAGACGGTATGTTGCGGCCAGTTTGGTAACTGGCTAGATTCACTATTTCTGGAGTTACTGACAGTTGACTTCGTAGGCCAGGAAGATTCTGAGCAGGTATGCCTGGAACATGAACTCCGCTCTCGACGCCTACTTTGGGGGCCAGCAGCTCTCCCCGGCGCGAGATGACACACCAAGCGAGGGAAACGAGGATGTGGCCAAAAGCCAGAGCGCTGCTAGCCGCCCAGCCCCATACGCCGAGGGCAGCAGCTCACGCTCGCAGCCGCGCAGACAGGCGCAAGGCAATCCCGTGAACGTGAAGACCATGGGTGACCTCAAGAACAACAAGGAAGCAGAGGTCGAGAATCATCACGATGAGGGCTCTCGAGGGGACCTCTTTGCGGGAGGAGAGAAGTCGGGGCTGGCGGTCCAGGACCGCGGTGCCTCGGACAATGCCGCCAGGCGACCGATGCAAAATGCTCAACGGTATGTGCTCATCTCCTTCCACCCCATTCTTTGTCTTCGTTTTGTGCCGGTTCTAACACCCGATTAATAGCGCTGCTACACGATCAGAACCCTTTGCCGCAGCCGGACCCCCACAACCCGGCCACTTCAGTGGCTCGGGCCAAACCCTGGGTGGCGAAGGCGTCCCGTCGCGACAAGTCCCAAGCCTTCACGGCAACCCAATCCAGCGTGTTGGCCGGCACGAGCCCGACCAGCCGCGTGGCCGATCCACAATTCACGTGTGGGAGAACGGATTCAGTCTCAATGACGGACCTCTCCACAGAAGTGATAGCGATGATGCCCAGCATCGCATGATCTTCCAATTCCTCAAGAGCTGGGTAGAACAACAATCGGGGCAAGATGGCAACGATGGAAACACCAAAGACGCCCCAGAAGAGCTGTTGCATGAACTGAAGAGAATTCTAAGGCTCAAGCATCATGAAATGGCTGAAGCGGACATCCATGCCCACCCCAACGAAAAGTGGCGCCTGGTTCACCCGTTCGCTGCTGCGGGCAGACGACTTGGGAGCCCTGTTCCCGGCGATGGTTCTTCATCCATCGATTCGACAATCGCTTCCCAGACGTCAACCCGCAGCGCCACAGCCACAGCAACCGGGGCTGCTTCCGTGCCAAGCGGCGTGGACGAATCTCAGCCTATTGTGACCATCCGCATACAGCTTCCCAACGGCACCAGGGTCCCTGCTCGATTCAACACAGTCCAGACCATCGGCGATGTCTACGGGTTTGTGCAACAGACAAGCCCCGAAACCCGATCCCGCAACTGGGTTCTTGCCACCACTTTCCCCAACAAGGAGCATATCGACCACAGCGCTGCGCTGGGGGAGATGGATGAGTTCAAGAGGGGCGGCACGGCGGTTGTCAAGTGGGTCTAAGGACGCCGGTGACTTCCAGGCTGTCCGGCTTCACATCCACGTCTACTTCTCTTGGAACACCAAATGATACCTTGCAGATACACAGCACATCCTTCCTAGCCGAAAGTCTGTTCTTTGCTTATCAGCATGTTCAATGACGCCTGCTGGGTAGGTAGGGACAGCAGGTGTCGAGGCGTTCTGTGCCAGAAGTTCTACGTCATTGGGGTATTAGAGCCTTCTTATGACTTACTGCTCAAAATAACAAAATGGACGATAGATACGTGGGGTTGTTAGTGAGGAATGCTGTGTTACCCACTAGATACGATGGGAACTATGTGTCTAGGTGTACTTGAAGAGTCGATAGAACACATGAAAGATGTTCTACACGGGGCATCAAGATGTAAAATATTCTGATCCGCGGGTAGTTACGGTGGTCACCCAGACTCTATCGCGTGCTCTACTTAATATCGGTGTGTCACTCGGCATGTGGAGAGGCATCGAACGCTTCACGAAAAGTCACAATTATGTGTCTTCCATTGCAAGTGAGTGGCACACAAGGCTGCCAGAATCGCATCCATATTGGAAGTGCGGCTTGTACATCCATCAGAAGCCAAGCAAGTGGGTATCAGAAAATCCCTAGGTCCGTAAAGTATACATTGGGTTAAAGGTCTGCCATTTTCCCTCTGTTTCAAAATAAGCACAATAAATGCAAATGGATGCGCGTTATTTGACCCGAGCAAGTTATCCGAGCGAGATGATGTCAAAATACTCAAGCTTCGGCCCCGATAGCGCCCGCAGCCGAGGAGTCAGTGTTGCCACCGGCGCCCGCCCCGGCAGCGGCGGTGACGGAGGCCTTGGGAGTGGCGGCGGAAGCGGCGGCGGGGTTGTCGAGGCCCTCGAAGAGGCGGGCGGCGATCTTGACGTTCATCTTGGCCGAGTTGTAGAGGGCCTCACCGGGCGGGAGGCAGCAGAGGATATAGGTGTTTGTGGTGAACTTTGTGATGAAGAGGCTGAAGCGGGTGCCGACCTTGAGCTCAAAGTCCTTGAACTGCTCCGAGTTGCGGGGCGTGCCCGTGTACTTTGACAGGGACGACTTGTAGGCCTTGAGGATGTTGCTGAGGCGCTCCTGGCGGTCCTGGAACGGGTTCATGGACCCGATCTCGGAGACCCACGAGGACACGACCAGGAACGAGGTGCGCTCGAACAGCTGGATCTCCTCGGCCTGGATCAGGCGACCCAGCTTCTCGAGGTGCTCCTCGATGAGCGAGAGGCTGGGGATCAGGTCGTGGATGATCTCGGACCAGGCCTTGTAGAGCGACTGGTCCCAGATGCTGGTGGCGAAGGGCGTCAGGTCGAGCCCGCCCGAGCCACCCGGGTGGTGCGGCTGGGGCAGGACGACGCCCGCGCTGGCGATATACTCGGCGGTGCGCTGGCGGATGAGGGCGACGCGCTCGACGAAGACGGCCTCCTTGGTCTGGTTGGGGATCAGGTCCATCTTGTGGATGAGGACGAAGATCTTGGCCGAGGGCGAGTACTGCATCAGGCCCGAGAGGATGGTGACGTAGGTGGCCATGTCGCGGTCGACGTCGCGCGACTCGATGTCGAAGACGTATATCATGACGCCGACATGGTTGAAGACGTGCTGGCGTTGCTGCGACAGGTAGTTCTCCATAAATGCCTCCTGCCCGCCACAGTCCCAAAGGTTCAGCTGCAGGTTGCCCAGGAACTTGACGTGAGACAGGTCGATATCAATAGTAGCGCCGCTGACGCATGGTTAGCGTATGCAGTTTGGTTTTAAGATAGGAAGATTTACGTCGAGACTGCTCATGGTTGTAAGGATGGAGAGGTTGGCTCAACATGTTCATTCATCTCAAGGATGGCGGATGTGAGGAAGCGTGACGGAAGCAGCCAGGATTAAGTAACCAAATAGATGAAAGGCACATCACAATTGATGGAAAATAGCACCTCAGGCGACGATATTATGAGGGAACAGCAGATTCTCAAGGACAAGGTGCAGTTGCAGGATGGAGATTTGTGTCGACCTCTCCCGGGGCCCGAATCGAGATAAGTAAGCGGCACTGCGCGCCGGCAACAAACTCACAGTCTCCGCGTGTCCTTGGCCAGGTAATTGCTGAAGATGATTGACCGCATGCTGGACTTTCCCGACCCGCTCTTGCCCATGAGCAGGATCTTCTTCTTCTTGAGCTTCTGGCTCTTGGGCTCGGGGACGCGAGCCGCCAGGCCGCCCGCGACCGACGACGACGCCGCGACGGAGGCCATGTCGGCGGCGGTGGAGGCGGCGGCAGCGGCAACAGCCGGCGCGAGGATCTGATGAGGCGACGCGAGCTGCTGTTGCTGCTGCTGCTGCTGGTTCCGATTGACCTTTTTTTTATAGAATCGGTTGGTCGTGTCCGTAATATCAATGCCCGGGCCCTGCTTCTCGGAAAGCGTCCGTCTCGGCGTCGGATCCTCGGCTGCTCTGGCGCCGCGTCCAGAGCCTCCTGTTCTTGTGCTGTCCAAGAAGGCCGTGTTGGCGCGCGGGCCCACTCGTTGCGGGGATAGTCGCATCTGTGGCGCAGTGAACACAGTAGTGTGTGGCACAGCAATAGCCGGTTCGGAGGTTCCGAAGTACGCGGCTGTGTAAACTCGCAATATTTCAAGCCGAACTACAAGCCCATGGATTAGCTCGTGTGTCTTTATCAGCCAGGGCTAACTCGCTCGAACGTATGTTTACGGAGACTGCCATCTATAGGCGCCGGAATCAACCACGACACCATGCTAAAAGGTATGTTAAGAGTCGAAGTTCTTATGCATAGGAAATAAACTCACCATCGAGCACAACCTTAAGCAGGCGGTGTGGTGTGAGGGAGCCAGAGTGGCATCTTGTCTTCGGTTGTTGGAAAATACGAACTGTTGTGGAATCTCACACTCGGACTCCCCCAATATGTAGTACTCCAGCACGCAGTAGAAGGAAATGGTGCAGAAAAGTCACTACATGCAAAAGTGTTCTTAGGAAATGATATGACACAGCTTGCCGACGTAAGGACCATTGCTCCATAAGGTAGCTGAAGGAGCAAATAGGAAGGCCCAGGGATTGGAAGGTAACTGTCCACAGAGAAATATACCCCAATCTTGCGTGCAAGCGGCATGCTCGAAAAGACATTCCGTTCTCAGACCTATGTCGAATTCACGTTGTGCTCGCCACGTGCAGGCCTGGGGTTCTGGGCCAGAGATATGCGGCCATGCATGTGATGGTCCAATGCTGCTTGTGGACACAAAATCCTGCATGCTGACATGGATGGGACCAATAGCCCCCTCAATCCAAGCTTACGGAGTACAATCTCGCCGCCGTGCCAGGCAGACAGCGCCAGGTCATCCGCTAGCCAGGTCCGTAGGGCAGGCTGGGAGAATTCTGCGGTCGTCAGCATGGGTAGGGCAGGGCCTGCAGGGCCGTAAACCATAAGCGGTGACGTGGAAATGGCGAACACAAGTGGGCAGCGCGGGCAGGCTTGAGCCTTGGGAGCCCGAAAAAAGGGGGCGTTGTGCGCTGGCTTCCACCGATTGGCATGAAGCGACGACGGGGGGCTTCTTGGGGCTTGCCCGTGGGCGCCGCCCCGTTCCGTTCTACTGCAACAGGTGCTCACCAGAGGGTTGGCACAGCTGTGCGGCTGAGGCGCTACCACCAACCGCACTAGCCATGGCTTTTCTACAAGAAGCTCGCCTCGCGCGACAAGTCTCAAGCCCAGGAAGTCTAGTCTCTCACGGCGACTTCATCGGTTGGGGCAGCTATGCAAGCCACCATCTTCTGCCTATGGGCCGTCACGGCCCTGACCGGCAGCCAGGCACACATGTATATGGAAAAGCCACCAGCACTGGGCGGCTTTGACAACTCCATCACACAGCCAAAGGACATAGACTACGCCATGTCCTCCCCACTCGACCCGCACGCAAACGGTACCGACTTCCCGTGCAGAGGTCATCACAAGCTCCTCGGGACGCCATCGGGCGCCAGCGTGGCCAAATGGCAGGCGGGAAGTACGTACGAGATGGTTATCAACGGGAGCGCCCCTCACGGTGGCGGCAGCTGCCAAGGCTCACTGTCCTATGACGGCGGCAAGACCTTCACCGTCATCCACACCTGGATGGGGGGGTGTCCCGGGATGGGCCCTTCTCCCTTCAAGTTCCAGATACCGCTGGACGCGCCATCAGGTCAGGCAGTTTTTGCCTGGACCTGGCTCAACCGAATCGGCTTCCGCGAGTTCTACATGAACTGCGCCGCAGTCGAGATCACCGGCGGTGGCGGCTGTGGAGAAAAGGTCGCGTTTAAGGATCGTCCTGCCCCGTTCGTGGCTAACCTCAACAACGGGTGTTCAACAATCGAGGACATCAACCCTGTGATCCCAGATCCGGGGCCCAACGTGGATAAGACCGGGGATCAGTTTGCCGATCCGGTTGGCAACTGCACTGTCGCCAAAAGGGCAGCTCCGACAACGAACGGAGCCTGCACGTCACCAGGTAAGCCTTCGAAAAGACTCCGATAACAGTCATCATTCCAGGGCGTTGCTTCAGGCCCTGTGACCAGGGCAGGTCTGGATGGCCGACTGGCACGTAATTTCCTCTTCAGCTGCTGACGCCCGCCAGGGTCTGGACGTCAAGATCCAACCACAACACCAACAGCAGGCGGATCGAGCCCCAATGCAGCTGAACAAAACACCCCCAGTATCTCTCTGGTTGGCGTCATTGCGTTGAACGTTGTCGCGTGTTGGTTGTTCTCCTGAGTCTCGCAACCGGGGCGTCAAGCTTTTCAACCTGTCCGTGCCTCTGTCAGGACAGGCGATGGGATTGCAGGCTCCCTAGCTGTGCTCTTCGGGTTGGAGTTCCCAAGATAGATTGCCAGGTGTGGTTTAATGATATTCATAATACCAAGGCGGGGTTTGATTTGATGGCGAGACTGCCAGGCTGAGACAATGAGCTGAAGGGAACAGGATCTGTCGCAAATCCATTTGTGAATTGAATTCGATCCTCGCTCCTGCCTCAGGTCGTCGGTTTTGGCATGGCCCACACGGCAACCAACGCTTCTTTCCGACAGTGGGGCAAATCGCCGCAACTTTCAATGGTCTCGGGTGTCAGGGATTGTTGGCATGGGCGATCTGGTCAGCCACCCCTGACAATGGACCCACTTAAACTCATGGCGCGTTGACAACGAGCATGTGGAAGCCTGATGACGCCTTCAAGAACACCCCGCAAACGCACCCAGAGAATCGGCAAGGCAAGCGTCTTTCTTATCAATGCTCGCTCTTGCGACCGCGCTGTTTTACGCGTCTCTTGGCCGCGTTCCGCCCTAGCTCGTCCGGGCAAGATATCGTGAGCTAGAATGCTGCTTTGGTGACCAACGACATGACCAACAGCGCGGCTACCAACGGCATGGCAACCAACTCAAAGCCTATACCGGCCCTTTATACGGTGTATATCCTTCGATCCACCATCCGCCGCGCATCGTTCTACATAGGCTCGACCCCGAATCCTCCGCGGCGGCTGAAGCAGCACAACGGCCATGCGCCGGGCGGTGCTGCCAAGACGTCGCGGGCCAAGCTTAGGCCTTGGGAGATGATCGGGCTTGTCTCTGGGTTTCCTAGCATGGTTGCGGCACTCAAGTTCGAGTATGTTACTAAACTTCCTCCCTCTGCCCTCCCAAGGTGGCTCGGCAATCTGGTTGCTCACATTTGCGATGTGCTCCCAGATGGGCTCTCACCAACCCCCATATGACCCTCCACATTCCGGCCGACGAGCGTATAAGCAAAGGCAAAGGAAAGAAGCGCAACGGTATTCCAAGGAGACCGGTGCCTTGCCTAGCCTCCATCATCTCGAACGTGGACATTCTTCTCCGAGTGCCCAGCTTTGCCAGGTGGCCGTTGAAGCTACATTGCTTTGCTCCCGAAGTCTATAGAGCATGGAGCAAGAATCTCGTCTCAAGCAGTGCGGCTCCAGGGGAGGGGAATCTTGAGGTCGTGACAGACTTTGGCCCCACGCCAGGGAGCGGGAACACAACGACGGCGACGGCAGCGAAGACGCCGATTTTGGAAGACGACGTGACAGGGTCGGGAGAAGAAGAGGAGGCGATAGCAAGCCCGTGGGGGATCCACGCGCTGCCCCTCGATTATTCCTCGCTGAAAGCTTACGTGGCGAAGGGGCGTTCCGTATTTGAGTTTGAGCGCGAGGGTAACTGCGTAGTTTGCAAAGAGCCACAGGAGCCCGGCAAGGGATTACTGGCGATCTGCACAAACGAGGGCTGCGAGGGTGTTGGGCACATCTCTTGCTGGAGTCGGCACATTCTCGGCACACAAGGCGATGCCGAGGTTCTTCCAGTTCAGGGGTCGTGCCCGAGGTGCCAGGGCCCTGTCAAGTGGTGTGATATGATGAAAGAGCTCACTCTACGGACCAGAGCCTCAGCGGATGTAGATAAGCTTCTGAAAGTCAAGCGCCGGAAAGTAAAATCATAGCGACTAACTTGTATGACTTGGTAATCTATTGAGTTGAGAGTTCAGTCTACTTTGGATCCCGCCCATGGAGAGGTCGGTGACCCCTTGAAGAAATTCGCGTGCGGGGGCCCTCATGTTTGACCTGGGAGACATATACCAAGTGATACATATTTCAAGCTTCCAGACGATTTGCTGGAGTCACGTTGCAGTGGTCAAGTTGGCCTTGTTGTGCAGCAAAACTGGTGTGGCTGGCCAAACGCGGGTGATGTGCGATGAGGCAAAATCTTATCGGTCCCAAGCTCCGCTTCTCTTCCATGCAGCTGAGGTCAGCTTGCCAATGTCATCGCCCCGCGCTGGGTGGGCGGGGCCGTCCTAAACGTCAAGCGACCAGTGATTGGGCGCCGCTGCGAGATCCCTGTCGCTGGTCTCTGCCAATATCTGATGCCGAGCCTGGTGCCAGTCCGCTTTTGTCGGCAGCCTCCCCCGACCTTTTTCGGCGATGCGCAGAGGCGTGCGTGCGAATCTCCGGGGGCTAGCTTCCCCTTCCTTCGCTCGCGCACTCCTTCCTCATTTTGTCCAGGTTGCCTGTCATCATCGGAGCGACATCCAGCATCATTTATCCTTTATACACTCTTCAATGTGACGCAGCTTTCCCTCACCGCATGTGCAAAATGAGTCCATACCACACATAATAGGGAGGAGTCTTTTTTAATGGACATGTAAACAAATCTTAGGAGCAAATTCTCGCTTCTCTCCCTTTTTCTCTAGCTTCCACACCCTGTCTTTTGACCCACTCGCACTTGTCTTAGCTTCACACACACACACACACACACACACACACACAATGGGTCTCTCGCACATTCGGCGGCGACGTTCAATATCAAACCAACATGAAGGAGAGTATCACGCAGACTGGAGGGCGTAGCCAAGCAACGAGGACAGCCGGAACAAATCGATAGGGCCTAAGGGTGGCTGTTGGGTAATATATCCCAATGATGTGTTCGCGCCTCGAGTTTTGCTCTCATTAGTCGTAGTGGGTTGGACCCATGTCCATGCGTGTCGGGTCACTTGCAAACTTGTCAGCCGGTCACGTCGTGGACGCATGATTCACACCACAGAGGTGACTTGGTAGTAATTCCTTTCCGCCGTGAGGAGGTTTGTGGAAGCGGGTAGTGAGGTGGCATTGGACGTCCTGCTCCCACTGCTCCCTCCGCGGCATGTCCCCACATCCTCGGTCCTGGGCTGTCCGACTAGCGCACGGTGTCGCAAACAGCCCCTTAAAATGCGATGTGTTTGCTGCGCGGAAGGGCTCGAACACGGCAGTATCAGAGCGCCCCTTCGATCCGCCGTCGCACAAGGCTATAGAAAACGTCAGCTCGGCTGGCCCAGCTGCGTGGTGGCTGCAGACGCGACGCGGCCAAGCTGCTGCCCGCTGCCCTGCTGAGCGGCCGTTGTATCGAGCGAGGCCCGTAGGCCCAGATGGGGAAGTTGGTTTGCGGTGCGGTCCATGACTTGCTTAAATGCGTTGTGCCCGACCGATGGATCCCCCCCATCGCGGACCCACCCACATGGATGGAGCGTGTCTGCGCTAGCTCGGTACCTTTACCAAAGAGGAAGGGAGGTTTCTGACGGCATTCATTGAATGTTGCCTTGCCTCCCGCCCACAGCGCAAAACGCCTATTCTCGACTGTCCCAGCCTGGCCGTCTTTATGTGGTCCGTTTCTTCGGTGCCCCATGTTCGACCTGACCTGTGCCGACCCGAGCCAGCACCAGTGACCTGCCCTACCTGCCCTGGTAGTTGCGTCCCTGACTCCGTTCCGCTCCTGCCCCCAATATCCCCCCAATATCTCGCACTCTTCTTCTCCCTTCTCGGCCGCCCGCACACCCCGGCAGCTTTTCCCACCTCACACCTCACTCCTGCGTTTCTCGTTTCCAAACAAAACTCAACCCTCACCCTCGCCCTGCGTCGGCGAGCCCCGTCCGCTGCATGGGCCAGGTTATTCGCCCGTGTTTTCGTCAACGCACGTTTTCAAATTTTCTCCCTCACTCATACCCCGGAACGTCCACGCGACTTTCCTCCTCTGTCACCCGTCCTAGTCCCCCCGGCTCAGTCTTGACTTCTGACGGCAGTATTTGGGTTGGTTCATGTACCTTGTACATCACAGCTGTGGAGTCGCCCGCCCATTTATGCTTTGCTCTTGTCCACACATGCGAGCCGATCCCACCACCCCGACCAACTTGAACCCCCATATTTCACTCTCCATCCCTTCGCCGAGCTTCTGATACTGCGACATCAAAGCGCACGCATCCGCATCCGCACCCGCGTCCGCCTCTCCGCCGCCAGCAAAACCCGAACGCTTCCACGGCTGTCGCTGCCTTGCGTGTCTCCTTCACTATCGGTCATGCAACGCATGCATATGCAGCCCGCTGTTCACGCCCTGCTATAACGCATCAAATGGCCCTTCTGGCGCCCGGCCACGCCCTGGATATCTGTTGATTGACGGCACCGCAACCGCCCCCCGTCATCAACCCGACACCCGCGTCTCGCCGCCTCGCGCCCCGTTGAAAGCGCCATGGCGCCAGCTCCATCAGCCGGCGCCAGCCTGTCGGCTGCCGCGGGCGGAGGCAGCGCCAGTACGAATGCCAGCGCACGAGGCTCGCCGGCAGTCAATGCCTCCGTGAGCCATGGATCCTCGAACGGCGGCTCGAAAGCGAACACAGCCCCCGTCAACTCGAACGGCTACCACCCAAACAACCCCCAGCAGCGAACGCTGAGCTCCATGACGAGCTCGCCTCTCGATCTCAACTCGGTGGAGAGGAGAGGCCAGCCTACCGCCAGCCGCGAGCCCCCAAAGCGCAAAACCCGCCCGCACGATCTGGAGGAGGCGCCCACATACTATCCCACCGCTGAGGAGTGGAACGACCCAATGGAGTACATGAGGAAGGTCTCGCCGGAGGGCAGGAAATACGGCATCTGCAAGATCGTCCCTCCAGAAACATGGAATCCCCCATTCGCCATTGACACGCAGGTACGGTTTCATCGGAAAGCTGGCGCGTCGGGACGGCATGGACGTCACTCGCTTGCGGCGCGTTTGGACGATACCCCGGAAGACTCATCGCTGACATTTATCGTGTTTCTAGAAATTCCACTTCCGTACCCGGAAGCAGGAGCTGAACTCTGTCGAGGGCAGTAAGTACCGGAAGTCCCCAAGGAGCTCCTTGCCGACTTCCCCCAGCAACTCACCCACCTCGCGCTTATCTGCAGACACTAGAGTCAACAAGACCTACGTCGAGGCGCTTGTCAAGTACCACAACCAAACCGGCAAAGACAACATTCGACTTCCCTTTGTCGATAAGAAGCCCCTCGACTTGTATCGGCTGAAGAAAGCGGTTGAGAACCGCGGCGGCTTCGACAAGGTCTGCAAGTCAAAAAAATGGGCCGAGATTGGGCGCGATCTGGGCTACAGCGGGAAGATCATGTCGTCCCTCTCAACGTCACTGAAGAACTCGTATCAGAAGTTCCTCTGTCCGTACGAGGAGTACCTGCGCGCAGCCAGGCCCGGCGTGCACCAGCAGTTGGAACTTGAGTATGGAGGCCCGCTCACCCCTAGCCCGGCCCCGAGCCCGATGAAGCGATCGACGGTAAACACCCCCGCGAGTCTGAGAGGCGACTCCCCTGCTAGGCATGCGTCGGGCGCGCTTCAGGCGACTATTGGGAAGGAACAGGACGGCGACTCGTCGGCCACCCCTGGCGCGGCATCAGGGGCGCAATCAGGCTTCACTGCCATCAACTCCGGAGGATTCACTGCGGTCAATTCTGGCTTCACGAGTGTCAACAGGCTGTCTGCGGCCGAATCAAAGCCATTCACGCCATCCAAGCCGAGCAGCGCGCTGGCGTCTGCGAAGAACACACCGGAGTACCGCCCGTCTGGGCTTGGACCAGCAAATGCACTCAAACGACAGCTCAGTTGCGAAAGTATGGACGCCAAGAACGAGATTGCGGGTGAGAAGGAAGACACGGATGCGAGCAGTCGAAGGAGTAAACGCATCAAAAAGGGTGAGTACTTTTTTCTCCACCATTCTGCCAATTGGACTGTCGCATCACTCTTGGAAGACCACCATTCCCTCAATATGCACACGAGGTTGGCAATCAATCCTCACTGATCTTAGGCAACCCATTCGGTTCCAAGGCTCCCAATGCCCTCCCACGTGTTCATTTCCCTTCCTCCAACGCCCGGCTCGCAATTCCCCTTGCGCTTATTGCTCTCGGTTTTTCATTTTCTCGCCTTTTTATTCGCGCACACTTCTGCTGCGACCATTGGCCTTGTAGGCAATGGCAGCGTCAGCCCAAGCAACCTCCTATTAGGGAGAGCGGGCTGCCGATTGGATCGAGGCATGCACTTACAGGGGTTTCGACCCAAGAGCTTCCGTTTCGCTGCCTGCCGAGGGCTATTCGGAGCTGATTGGAGGAGCAAACTGGCTAATGCATGCGCATTCCTGCAGAGAACGTACCGACCGTGGCTGGGTCGCACATGACACTATTTCGACCCTCTCTGCCCCGGATTCCAAAAGACGACTCCACTCCAGCGACTGAGGTGAGCGCAGCAACCACAACCTACAACACAAGCACAACGTTGGCGACGCAGTTTGTGCATGTATGCTCATGTGCACGGCTGCTGTCGCTGTGCCCCATGTCTTGGTTGTCGGCCACTAACCTGCTTCCTCTCAGAAATGTAATGCATGTGGCAATGCCATCAGCGCCGCCTTATGCGTGATCTGCGATAGTTGTGACCTTCGATACCACGGCAGCTGTATCAACCCGCCGCTGAAGGCGACGCCCGAGACCGAATGGAACTGCCCGCGATGCCTCGTCGGCGATGGCAACTTCGGGTTCGAGGAGGGCGGACTCTACTCGCTGAAACAGTTCCAAGAAAAGGCCGCGGATTTCAAACAAGGATACTTCGAGAATAGGATGCCTCTGGATTCCGAGCTGAAGTGCCATCGCCCTGTTACAGAGGATGATGTCGAGCGCGAGTTTTGGAGGCTGGTTGGGAGCAGGGACGAGACAGTCGAGGTCGAGTATGGTGCCGATATCCACTGCACAACGCACGGATCCGGCTTCCCCACGGCCGAGAAGAACCCGGACGACCCTTACTCTAACGACCCCTGGAATCTCAACCTTCTGCCGCTGCACCCCGAGAGTCTGTTCCGATACATCAAGTCCGACATTTCCGGCATGACCGTGCCCTGGGTCTATGTCGGCATGATCTTCTCCACCTTTTGCTGGCACAATGAGGACCACTATTCCTATTCGGCCAACTATCAACACTTCGGGGCCACCAAGACCTGGTACGGCATACCGGGAGAGGATGCGGAGAAGTTTGAGGCAGCCATGAAGGAAGCCATCCCTGAGCTGTTCGCGACGCAGCCAGATCTCCTATTCCAGCTCGTCACCCTCTTGCCGCCCGAGCAGCTGCGCAAGGCTGGCGTTCGGGTCTATGCGCTAGACCAGCGTGCGGGCCAGCTTGTCGTCACATTTCCGCAGGCCTATCATGCCGGATTCAACCACGGCTTCAACTTCAACGAGGCCGTCAATTTCGCTCCATGCGATTGGGAACCATTTGGCCTAGCTGGTGTTGAGAGACTGCAGCTCTTCCGGAGGCAGCCTTGCTTCTCACACGACGAGCTTCTCTGGACAGCGGCCGAGGGTATCGCGTCTGGTGGTCTCACAATCCAAACCGCCAAGTGGCTTGCTCCAGCTCTCGAGCGCATTCACACCAGAGAACTTGCGCAGCGCCAGGAATTCGTCGCGAAGCACAGGGGGCTTTCACCGCACACGTGCGCCATCGGCGGCGACGAGGGCTCGTCGTGCCCGTTGACTTTTCGTGTCGACGACGAGGATGTGCCTGAAGAGGAGTATCAATGCGCCTACTGCAAGGCATACACGTACCTCTCCAGATTCAAATGCCTGAAATCCGGGCAGGTCCTCTGTCTGTTGCACGCTGGACACCAGCCGTGCTGCGATGCTCCAGAGAAAAACCGCCTAAGTGGTGACCAGCACATGGTGGTCTACCGAAAGTCGGAAGACATCATTTCGGCGACATACCGGAAGGTTGCAGACAAAGCCGGCTTACCCGAAGTGTGGGAGGAGAAGTACACCAAGCTTCTTGACGATGAGACCACGCCGTCCCTCAAGACATTGCGGACTCTGCTCAACGAGGGTGAGAAGATCCCATACGACCTCCCATCGCTGCCTCTCCTGAGAGAGTTTGTGGAGCGTTGCAACCGATGGGTCGATGAGGCTACCAACTACACTGTGCGCAAACAGCAGAACCGCCGCAAAGCTGAGCGTGGCTGGATATCTGGGCAGCGCAAGTCGATTGGGAGCTCAGCTCAAGAGCAAAAAGAGAGGGAGCTGCGCAACCTCGACAACATCCATAGGCTACTGCGTGAGGCTGAGCAGATCGGATTCGATTACCCCGAAGTCATTCAGCTCCAGGACCGAGCAGCCGCCATCAAGACATTCCAAGAGAACGCACGGAATATGCTGGATCATTCTCCGAGTAACCAGGACATCACCATAGTCGAGGAGCTCCTGGAGGAGGGCCACAGCTTCAACGTCGATATACCCGAAGTCGAGAAACTCTCCCGAGTCTTGGACCAGCTTAAGTGGAACAAGAAGGCCCGGGCTCAGCGTGGAACCTACATCACGTTGGATGAGGTGCAACTGCTCATCGAAGAGGGCAGGCGCCTGGAGATCAGGCCGTACAATGACCACATGGTCTATTACACGGAACAGATGGCGGCAGGGCAGGCGTGGGAAGGCAAGGCTCAGGAGGTCATCAACAATGAGATGATTCACTACGCACAGCTCGAGGCGCTCTCGCAGCAGGCAGCGGCCAACTCCCTGCCGGTCTCACAGGCCACTCTCGCCGAAGTCGACCGAATACTGCACAAACAACGCGAGGCCCTCAGTCAAGTAGCGGATCTCAACCTGCGGTGCCGCGATCCAGACTACGATAGGCGGCCCATGTACTCGGAAGTGTGTGAGATCATGAAGAAGATCGAAGAGCTCCAGACGAAGCCCCACGGAACCACTGATCTCGAGAAGGAGCAGAAGAAGCACGAGGACTGGATGCGGAGGGGAAAGAAGCTATTCGGCAAGACCAATGCTCCGCTCCACATTCTCAAAAGCCACCTGGAATATGTTTTGGAGCGGAACGGCGAGTGCTTCGACACAACACACGACAAGCCTCGTGTTCCCGCCGAGCCGTCGTCGCGCGAACACACGCCCGAGTCGAAGCTGCATCGCTGGGAGGATCCTAGGTTCCGCGAGGTCTTCTGTATCTGCCGTCGGCCCGAGTCGGGGATGATGATCGAATGCGAGTTGTGTCACGAGTGGTGAGTAATTGACCAGAGGAGTTTTGTTCCACGTCGCACAGGGTCGGCTGACAGGGCCCACGTCCAATGTATCTAGGTACCACGGCAAATGTCTCAAGATTGCGCGCGGCAAAGTCCGTGAGGACGACAAGTACACATGTCCGATATGCGACTGGCGGGTCACGATTCCGCGGGATGCATCCCGTCCGAACCTCGAAGACCTCATGGCGTGGTACGACGACATTCCCGACCTTCCGTTCCAGCCAGAGGAGGAGGGGGTGCTCAAGCAGATCATCGACAATTCTCAAGACTTTCGGACTTTCATCGCCCCGTACTGCAACCAGCTCTTAGTCACGTCGTCCGAGGTTGAGGTCGAGAGGTTTTACCTTCGCAAGCTGGAGGGTGCCGAAGTCCTCCTCGCATTCGAGACCAACTTCTTCCGACGACAGCTCCACAAATGGAGTCCTGTTGCTCCAGAACCACCGCCGATGATAGAAGTTTCTAAAAGCACCAGAAAGCCCCGCCCGACCAAGCTGCAGAGGCTCCTCAACCAGTACGGAGTCGAGGATGCTGACGAGCTGCCCGAGAGCGTGAGGGGGAAGGCCAACAGCCTGAAGCGCAAAGCTCTCAACGCGGAAGCGGCCGCTGCTGCGGCAGCCGCCGCCACTGGTGGTACTGGTCCCCAGGGAAGCCTGCCGCCTCTTCAGAGCCCCATAGGACACGGTTTCTACAGGAACACGGGCTCGACGTCGCTACCCCAGACGCCAGGGCTCTCGGCGTCTGGAAGCTCCCACGCCCATCCGTCTCGCGGCCCAGGTTCTACTTCTCCATCTACTCAGGGCCCTCACCATCAACACGCGCGGTCGGGATCAAGTGCTGGGCTCGGAAAACGAGACGGCGTGGAGCTTAACGGATCAATACACCCGGGTTTCCTGGGGCAAGAGTCTGCTGTGCCTGGCCCTCGACTTCTCCTGACAGATCACGGATCCTCTACCTCGGCTCACGAACTGGAGGAGCGTATCCTCAACGGCCAGATCGACGACGTGACGCTCCAGACCGAGAAGGCCAAGATCCTCGAGATTCTGGGGCGTACCGAGCACGGCCGGCGCCAGGCAGAAACACTTTACGGGCGGCGCGTGTGGGGCAGCGGCGGTGCTGGGCCTGGACTCAGCCAGGCCACAGACCGCAGCGAAGAGAAAGAAGGTGGCGACGTTGACCGCATGTTTACGGATCTTGTCAACCAAGACGAGGAAGTCAACCCCGAGTCGCTTGAGAGCGAGCGCAACGGCATGGATGCCCTCCTGGATGCTGACTGAGCTAACTCTGGCTGCTCGCTCCGACTCATCTGCCACCTTGTTCGCCTTGTTGAGCGGCATCGGCCTCTTCATCCCTGTCTATCTGTGCGTCAAGATGCACATGTCGCCGAGCACCAAAGGGGTGCTATGCAAGCAGTTCTGGAGCAAAAAGCCCTGAATACGGAATACTACAGAGCACGCGGGGCATGATTAATGGTTGGAGTTCTTTTTTTTCTTGATGCCCCATACGCAGGCGGCAGCGACTGGGAGTACGGCTTGGGGATGCTGTGTTTTCCTTCATTATTTTTCCTACCATCATTATTGTCTTTCCCCCTTCATTCGGAAGCGCTGTGTTCGGAGTTGTCTTCCCGCTCACATCATACCCAGTCCATTTCACAGATGCCCGCGCTACTAACTCTACTGACTACCGACATAGCAGTCGGGCTGCCTACCATCTGCGAAGGTTTCACGCTATATGCCGTTGTTTTTGGTTCTTTATTTCCCCGGCCGCATCATCAACTTGTACAATTATGGGAATCGAAGGATCTTTGCATTAGACTTGGCGGTCTGTTCCCTCTGCTTTTTTCGAGACTTTGGCTTGCCTGGGTTTGTGGCTTTTTTTCTACTTCGTTGTCGATGGAGAGTTTCGGGAGGCTTGACGGGCATACTCTGGTGTTGGCTGATGGATGACCACGCTGTTGCTTTTTCATCTGGTAGGCTCGCCTACCTTGCTACCTGTGGGTAGGGTATCTAGAACAATCAAGAGGCCTTGACACGAAAAAAGGAGTGCATCAGAACGTGGGCCGTGACAGGAGCGCCTTTTGAATCTACTCTCCTCAGTGGCTTGGTACTTGCCCTTCCTATTCCTGGGGGGGGGGGGGGGGNGGGGGGGGGG